TCAAGTTCAGATTTCGATGTTAAAAGTCCTATATAAATAAATACAGACCATTGAGACTATCTTAATTTGTTGCCAGTTTCGGCTTTATCTTTTGTTTTGCCGAAGGTAGGAAGGTTTCAGCCTCAGTCCATCAGGAGAAAGAGTCTTTTTCCACTTCACCTTCCTCCATACAACTTTCGAAAAAATGTTAGCCTTACCACTTAATTCCTATTGGACAGTGTCTAGTAAGAATCGCTACGATTGCGGCAGTATGAACTTTGCTAAGCAAAATGTGTCCGAAAGACCTCTTGCGTTCTACTATGGGCCATAAGGATCTTGAACTCGCAAAGAAGCTATCCGTTGCTAAACAAACACGATGTACATTGGTCCAAGGCTAAAAGGCAAGAGGCCAAAGGTTAGATCTCCTTCGGTTTCATTCCGTAGTGAGTGAAACAAGGGTGCACTCTCTAGTTAGTATGGCATGATTTCTATAAAATTGCACCAGCAGCTATCTGTACTTCATTTGAAAGAGAGACGACATCTTGCAAAGATCTTACGAGATGACTCATCGCAAGCCATCAGGCAATCTCCAAACCATAGTGTGACGGTAAACTTTTGACCGTTATTCATAGTAGCTTTATAGACCGAAAAGTGTAGTAAAATATCTGGTTATTGGCCTCAAAATATCTTTGAAGTCAATGTTTAACGTAACTGAGGAGTTTGAGTGCAAATTTTTAGAAAGTCGTTTCAGCACAAATGGACATCCAATAACAAACTTTTCACTGCTCTTTTATCAGAACGATACTGTGCTGGTTGTAAGTCCGAGTTGACGGATGGATGGTTTCCAGTAACATATGCGCCTAAAACAACAAAATACCTCCAAGAGTGGACACAATAAATCAGCAGTTGTCGCTACAAAGCAGTTCCGAACGTGGAAATTAACAAAAAACAAAGCTCACACTCATCCGCCGACAAACACCGAGAACAAAGCTTGCAGCTTGGGTCCGTTGAAGCCGTGACAGCAGAAAATGTTAATGCCGAAAGCATATATTTTTTTTTTTTTACACATTTTTGGCCCCACTCCTGCCGAGCATAAATCTGTTGAGCTCATCAGGTGTCAGGATGAGTGTCAAGCGGCCATGAAATAAGCACAGAGCGACAGCTGCAGGTGGTAAGGCTGTTGCCGGCACTGATTACGACGACAATTATTAAGCTGTACGTACGGTGTTGCCCGCTCATGCTGCCGCTGTTGTTGTTGTTGGCGGCTGGATAATGGCGGTGTTGGCTTTAGTAAAATGTGTGCGAAACATGCACAGCTGCCAAGTAGCATGTGGCTGTGCAGTGCGTATGGGGCGCGCAGTGCAAGGATATCAAGGCAAATGTACTCGCATGCCGCCGCGCGCGCGGTTGTGTGAGTGAATGTGTGCGTGTGCGCTTTGTGCGTGATTTTTTCGCTATGTTTGCGAACATTAATGAGAAAACGCGAGCAAATAACAAAAGTCATGCGGTGGCGGCGCTGCTCGCTGCTCGCTCCTCTTGCGCGCCTGCGTGAGCAGCTGTAATCACAAACACATACACACACAATATATATATATATAAAATATGTGCAAATAAGTAAACAATATTGTGCTAATAAATAATATATAGTATAGACACATACATATGTATAATAAATAAATGTGTGCCTGCTGGCCTTCATTTATGAATTCTTCGTACGGAGCTGCCGCGGCGGCCGCAACAATTGCCAGCTCGTTCAAAAAGTGGCAATAACAGAAATGCGCGTTACGCGGCGCACGCTGAAAAAGGCGAAAACGGCAGATTAAATGCATAAAAAATTAAAAGTGAAAATGGCGAAAAAGAAGCGACGCCGCGTTGACAGCGACAGGATGCGACAAGGCGCAGGCGCACGCAAACACACTGCCGTTTGTATGTGTGTGTGTGTGTGTGTGCGTGTGGCTGTTATAATAATTTAAAAATGAAATGTTTGCGCGCTGCGGCTACAAAACACAATAAAATAAAATGAAAACGCGTAGAAAAAATGGAATACACGAAAGAATATGGCGAATGAAGGGCCAAGGGAAGAGAAAATGAAGTGTGGCAGCAAATAAAATGGCAACAGGCGCAATTATTGTAATGTGGCGAGTGTGAATTGCGCCCAAATGCGCGGCGGCTTATTTCAATGTGAGCATGTGAGCCCAGCTGCATACACACATACATACATACATACATGTGTACATGCACACCCACGCATTGAGAATTATGCGAATATTGAAATAAATTGTAATGACTACCGTTGCTGCAACATACGCACGCAAAAACGCAGCTTTTCCATTGATGGCCACAATGTGGCATTTTTTCCCCCTCTTGAAAGGGATTGTTCGTCATTTATGAGTCTGTTTATGAGTTGTGTGTTCAAACCGAAAGCGCTTTATGCACTTGAAAAACCAACTTGTTTTACTTAAGCTTGATAAACGAGCGTACCGTTGCAATGAATGCAAAAAAATTGCAAAAAAAAATTATAATAAATGCAAAAAAAAAAAAAGTAGCGGTCATAAAGTAGCACTTTTTATTTTTTTACAAGCACCGTTAACCTTGAGTTTCAAAATAAAAAGCATTATTTGCTAGAGATAAATTCACGCACTCGGGTAGAGGCGCTGTTGCGATAGCTTTTAATCTGTCGCACATTCGGACAGCATATTTGTATTTGTATTTTGTAAATATTTCAAAAATATTATGTTGGATTGAAGCATTTGACACAAGGACGAATAATAGCACGTTTTTGAGGACTAATTTGGAATGAAAGGAAAGCTCAACATTGTAGTAAGGGGCGTTTTTTAGGCGCGTGGTTCTTTCACACTTCGCCTAGTAATCAGTCAGGTATCCAAACACGCACTGCTACAAAAAACAGCAGATAGTTAAGTGGTGTAATACCATTGGCTCTGCTCCCAAGCGACAGCATTACCAAAAAGGTAAAACTTCACCACTTAGCAGCAAGGCTGGATGGAATTAATCCACTCTTGAGCTACTGCCTAAGAATAGTGCAATCAAGTGATACACTGACGGCTTGAAAACGTCGAAGGAATTGATGCAAGAGTCATAGGACCCCAACTCTCCATACCTATGGAAAGCTTTTCGAGCATCTTCAAGCAGAAATCTTTGCCATAAGTCGATAACCATACTTAGCGATTGTAAAGCGGCACTTAAAGCAAACTCTGATTTTTCTACTGATGCAGGAGTGTAGATAATAGCTGAATGGCCCAGCGGAACGTAACCAAGTTCAACTCATCTGGGTGCCTGGTCATAAAGGTATAATCAGGAATGATCTTAAAATGGTAGGACCCGAAGGATCCTCATACTATAAAGGAGCTCCTCCACAAGGAAGAAGGAATACGTAGGAAAAAGTATCGGCAAAAACTCCAAGGCATGTGCCAAGCCAAGTTGTTAATGGATGGTTTCAACATCAGCAGGTTTAAATATAATATGTAATCAACGTACCTAGGGACACATTTAGACTACTTGCGGCATTTTACTCTGGACACTGCAAGCTGAAAAAGGCACTTATACAACATGGGCCAAGCTTCTTGCGTAAGTTATCGGTTCAAGGAGCCTGAAGCATCAGAGTATCCGCTAATTGAATGCGTGAAAATTTGAAGACGCCGGTTGAAGGCCCTTACATTCATGTTCCCAAATAAGGATCACTTCGCTTCGCTAGCATTTAGCAGTAGATTGGACTTTATCAATATGCTGGGGCTAGGTGAGTCTTTGTGATTTAGGCGAGGACACAATAGACCTAAGGTCGCGATGCATTTCTCGTTTATCTATCTAATCTTTTTGGTTTCTACTCAGTTCGGTTTGCAATTTCATAATAAATATACTTGTCTCGAAACAACATTTGTTAATCGTGGAAAATTTATTACCAAAATAAGGCTAGAAGCAACACTCGATGCTAGAGGCATTAAATATTCGGTAGTGGCCCAGCAGTGTCTTTAATTCCAGCAATGATAGAACGGTTTGGCACCACGTTTACTCTAGTGATTAATGCGATTTCACAGAGACGCTATAGAGTGGAGCAGAGTATTCAAAAAGTATCTCGCTTTGAAAGTATGCAAAATGCAACTCAAGCAACCGTTAAGTACGTCGCGCGTTTGGTGAATGTGCCCAAAAAGATGGCTATCGAGCCCGATTTTCACAAGAAAATTTTGTTCAGCGCTAAAGTTCACTTTTGATTGAATGGGTACGTTAATAAGCATAGTTTGCACATTTGGAGCCATTGTTAAGATGCTGTTACATTCTCAAAAATTCACTGCTTGATGAGTTCTATGAACAGAGAAAATCTTTGGTCTATGCTTCTTCAAAAATGAGGTTGGTCTTAATGTTACAGTCGATGGGACGCGCTATAGAGATGTGATTAATGACAAATTTGGTCTTAAATGAACGACCTTGGTCTACAAAGGTCTGCAAGATTGTACGCTTTAACACCATTGGACTCATTTTTTGTACAATATAAAATTTTTTGTGCCGCAACGTTTAGACAATGATAACGCGTTAACGACGAACCACGTTCAGTACGGCCATCAACACCAACTGATCAACACGCCAATAAAAAAAAAAGGGAAAAAAGGAATTGGCGGTCAGAGATCTTACTGGCGTCGTTCGCATATCGGAAGGATCAGTGAAAATCTTTTTGAAAGACAGTTGAGCCTAAGAAAAGTGAAAACACGGTTGGTACCGAAATCACTAAATTTTTTCAAAAAATAGCGTCGCGTTAACGTCTGTGAAACAATGCTTCCGGACAATTGTCATGAAACGTATCATTACTGGCGTTGAGTCTTGGTTCTTTGCTTATGTCCCGGCAAAAGCGAGCCAAAGCCGAAAAAATACATCAAAGCAGGTCAAAAATTTACTTTAACAACTGTTCCGAGTATTGGGAAAAACGTTGGCACAAATGTTTTTTAGCCAAGGGGGATCACTTTCAGATGACAATAATATTATATGTTTTTATATACATTCCATTTGCTTACCTTATAACGCTATTCTTGATTGGGGATGAAATCTGTTGGAGATCGATTTGTTCTTTAGTAAATTACTCTGAAAGTAAAAAATACAAATTAATTAATTAATCAATGAGTTGAATTTAAAAATTGAATTTATTAAATAAATAACATTTTCTGTGGATTTATAATAAGTTTTTGTTAACAAGATGTTTGTGAATATAAAAGGTTCGAATGACTTTACGTTGAAAGGTTTACTAAGCAACTCTAGGGGTTTTTTTTTCAGGACAAAGTACTCATTTATTTTCAGTCATAAGATGCCCAACTTCCGGTGGCAGTTGCTAATTTTGCGATCTCGTAAAACATATGAATATGCACATTAAGGTGAGCCGCAGAAGGCGAACGTTGAATTTTTAGCGTTAAAACTGGTATAAACATCCGTGAAGTAAAAAAATTATATTAAACAGTTGAAATGTTATAGTAGTTGGAACAAAAAATGAATTTTTCTTTGTTTTTTTTTTTCATTATTTTTTTCATTATTTTTTTCTTTGGTTTTTTTTTGTATTTTAATGTGAAACTCGGAATGCTTACCGACACCTTTCAAGCTTAAGTTAATAAAACCACACTTTCAGTAATTTAGTGTTCTCTGTATACAAGTAGGCTCACTTTAACCCATAAATTCGATAACAATTTTTTTTTGCCCCACCCTAATGTACATACATATATACATATGAATAGTAAATAGTCAATAAAACTCACAAACAGCAAAGACTTTAAGGAACGAAGAGTAGATAAACGAGTTCAAAAGCTTCAATAGCATCCGCATGGCCGCCGAGTTGCTGTACCCCTTTGGTATCTTCCCCAAACTGAGGTACTGCAAACAGATGTTTTAGATACATATTTTAGTTTTGTAAAGAGAGTATCAAGAACATGCACACAAGCAGCTACACCTATACATCAATTCAAGTCCTTCAAGGGCCAAAACATCAACCAAATTATATGGAGGAGGCTGTATACCAAGTAATTACAGTGCTTGCTCTGGACGCTCAATATTTTTGGCAATTTCCATGTCTTTAGATTCAACATATGCTTGTTTATGCTTGTTGTTGTCATTATTTGTTTTTTTTTTTTCTCGTCTGCTTTGAGCAGCTGTCGCTTGATGCTCGAATTTCATGGCGCAGAACTCAAGTGGAAAAGTCCCGAGCGACGTCAGCGAACAAGCGGCAAACTCAAAATTATAAGCAAACAGGCGGAGAAGCAACAACAATAAACACGGGAACACAACAAAAAGGAGAACTCTGAGAAGTTGACTGTCGCAAAGTGTCCTGTTGCACCAAATTTCATACACTAATTGTTATATTTTTGTACATAGCGTATGTTACAGTTGTTGTTGCTATTGTTGGCATGCCACGCTTGTTGATCGCCGTTGTGGTGTTTTCTTTGATGCTTGATCGTTGTTTGGCAGCGGTTAGCAGTCGATTGCTGGTGGTTGTTTATTTGTTTATTTTCGGTGAAGAGCCAGTGACATTGGCGGGGGTGTGAAGGCACCACACGCACATACACATACACACATGCATGCATATATAACAATATGAATTCCTACAAGTGTGTATTTGTTGGTGGGAACGTGTGAAAGTATACACGTGGGCGCAAGAGCATTGTTTTTGCTACAGCAAAGTCAAACACACACACCCTCGTATGACTGTGTTTGTATTTATTTTACTGTTATATTTATTTTCATTGTTATAGCCATGCAATTATGCACACACAATACCGAGTGGAACAACGTGGCATTAAACAATAATACAGTGCAGCAACAACAGCGTACAACAACAATGGTAAATTTAAAAGATTTTCAGCGAAAACGTTTACTTTTTGTACGCAAACGCACCCGTTTCTGCAGCGCACATGCTGCCGCATAAATTATTCTACTCGTGTGCAGGAAATGCACGCGACCAAGAGAACACGCAACATGCAGCTTGTACGCTTGTAAATTCAAGGTCTCAGTGAGAGTGAGAAGACGGATAAACTTTTTTGTGCGAATTTTAATGCTTGAAAATGGTAAGAAACTAACTCTGGGACTCATGTGACGCAGGATGATCTCATTTGGCAGAAGTTGCCGAAATTTTAGTACGTACCCTGCAGGAAAAATTTGGTATCATAGTCATAAAGGATTCAAATGAGCCGCACCGAACCAAACTATTTTTTACAGTTGCATTTTTGTAGCAAAAAATGGTTTATAAAGACCTTTATCTTAGTTTTGTTAGATCAGTTTATATGACGGCTATATGCCATAGTGGTCCGATCTGTACCATTTATTGGGAGGTTGTATCATTTCTTTGGACAATAATCCATGACGAATTTCCGGAAGAAATCTTATAAAATAACCAGTTTTGCATATAAAAACTTAATTTTGAACGGTAGGTTCGTATGACAGCTATATGCTATAGTGGCCCGATTTGAGAAATAACTTCTGGAAATTGTACCGTTGCCTTCGACAATAAGCCATGCTAAATTACGTGAAGATTTATTATCAAATAAAAAAGTTTTCCATATAAAAAACTTGATTTAGATTGTTCAGGTTGTATGACAGCTATATGCTAGAGTGGTGCGATATATGTAGTGGGTTTCGATAAATAACCAGATTCTTTAAGAAATTAGATCACAGCTAAAAATTTCAGAGCGATAACTCGAAAACTGAGGGATTAATTCACATATATAAATCCAATGTCTTGTTGCGCTGATCAGTAAGAAAGTTTCCAACGTTTCCTTCTCGATACTACAAACTTGTGTCAACCTCATTTTTTGTCGTTCTGGATTAGATTTAGGAAATATAACAAAATTTCGGTTCAAGAGGCCCCGATATTCCGTAAAGATGCTAGCTTAACACTCAACTGACATCTTTCTTTAAAAAGTCGTACTTTGGGGGCCAAATGCGCTACATTTTCTGTCTGATAGGATAACGTAAATCTCGACCAACTATTTCTGAAACAATCTTGAGATCCCCTATTAAAGGCCTACAATTAAGCCCTCTCCCTAAAGACCATCGGTTCATACTCGACTTTCATCTTTATTTAAGAAGTCGTACCTTGGAGATCAAATGCGATAACTTTTCTGTCTGATAATATGACTCAAAGGCCAAGAAACGATTTTTGAAGCAATTTTGAGATTCACTGTTAGAGTTCTACAAGTAAGCCCTTTACGTAAAAATTACCGAGAAGTAAAAAAATTCTTAAATTTCTGTCTCCGAAAGTGTCAAAATAATACGATTTTTATAATAATACAACGTTCTCACAAATTTCTCTCTCTATATAACCTTTTAAAAAGTATTGTATAACTCTTACATGAATCCATCACATTTTAAGTGAAGTGAAGAGATTAAAAGTAATATACGAGTACAAGCGTCGCAAAAAACTAACCAAGTTTGAAATAAAAAGCGCTACAACTGAAGGCAGAAGAGCTTAAGTCCGAATGAATATCCCATTCACTTACCGTTTCACAAGTTCAACTCTACTCCAAAAAGTATGTATAGGTCACCATTTGCATGGTTTAGTGTCGCCTAAGCGTATGAGAGTTAACAAAAAGTCGACACATGCATATATTAATGACTATACCACATATGGTATGTACATATGGATATATAGAAATGTGTGCTCTCACATAGGTGTGTTCGCTAGGAGTTTAATGGCGCACATTTAGCGTTTCGGGCTAAAGTCACAGCTGTTTGTGAAGCTAAGTGCCAAAACGTTACTAGCTTTTGTTTGGTTAACCAGCGGTGCTCGAAAGCATTTATTCAAAGCAATGGCTTTACAAATGCCAGCCCAGACATTTTGGGAATGCGAAAATAATTTACTTTTGGTAAAATGTGGCGGTAGGTTTGTCTGAATACCATAAATGTACTTCCCCTGTGGGAAATGTGCAATACTATATACAAGTTTTTATGTAAACGTAGGCCTCTAAAATAGAACAAACGAAGATAGTGGTAGTATAGAGATAAATGGTGTGCGAAAGCTTTTGAAGGCATGTAAACCTCATAACAAAACAGGAGTGTAGAAGGTAAATTATTTGCAAGGTATGAAAGAAGTCAATAATTATTATTGTAAATTATGCTAGTGAAAATACTGAGGTTTATATAATACACTAAATTGTGTAAGTGTTGACCGAAAAACGATCGTATTGTTTTCTAACAGTTTCTGTTATTACGCATTTCAGACTGGTTCAATATTTGCTTAAGTCTTGTAAAGCTATTATTTCATTAGCCGATTGAGAAGTTTAAAAGATGACTATTAGCCGAATGAAATGATAAAATTACAACTATAATTAAGCATCTATGTTTTAGGAATACAAACATACAATCAAAATTCGCTTCAAGCGAAGGCATTGTAACGGAAGACTACTTCTCTTGGACCTAGCAACTGGCATTAAAAGGACCAAAACTGGTCTATGCATGGCTTATTGGCCTACCAGTTTAACTTAACCTATATGAAATCAGTCGATTTGCACCGAGGACATAAAATCGTTTGCGAGGTCATTTCAGTTGTACATCCCAAGAGCAGACAGGTCTCTATGTTTTTTGTCCCCCATTAGCACCGTGTTCGTCCCAGCTTCCATTATCCATTGACGGGTCCCGAAACGCAGAATCTTTTCGTTGGCGCTTCTATGAGTACGACATGGCCTAACCAGCTCATTCGTTGGCATTTTTTTCGCGCCTAGCAGTATCCATGTCGTCTCCGTTCTCATACAGTTCTATCTTCTTCGGTAGTCATCACGCACGCAGGCGGCTTCAAAAATTTTTCGGACAACAGTTCCACGAATACTCGCAAGTGCTTTTTCATCTCGGTTCGTCAGGTCTGTTCAGTTTCTTGATGTTATTTATGCCGGCTCCGAGATAGACCTCTTCAACTTTATTGTTGCCAACAGGGAACAAGTTTTAAAGACGCGGGGAATCTTTGTTTTGTTGTTTTTGTACAAAAATACTTTTGAAGGAATTTTATTTCCATCTTCTTTATACTGCTATAGAGCAGTTTTTGACGAAAGGTGGGCTCTCCCACCGAAAGCGGTCTTCTGGCTGTACGAAACCATAGTCCCATTACGTTA